GGGGCTCACCCTGCTGAAAGCATGCTGCAGGACATGGGCCGGAAGCTGAAGAGAGCAAGTGTACACCCAGGAAAAAGAACACGCTCTTCCCTCTCCCTCTCCCTCTCCCCGTCCCCCTTCACAAACACACACACACGCACACACAGCACCCGCCCCGTCTCTGAATCAGCGCACCTGGGGACATAGCCGTTTGCCAATGAATCCGGGCATGGCACTTCGTACGCCGTACTTGCGCGCTACGTAGTTGGCGGTTGAGATCATGTCCATACCGCCAACTGCCACAGGCAACCGCTTCTGCGGCCGGGTTGGGGGGCCCATCTAAAGCCGCATGCACTGAGATGGTCAACTGGGTTTGGGTGGGGGGCCCGGGGGTTGACCCGGAGAGCCGGAGGCGACCACGTGCGTGTGCACATACATACATACATACATACATACATACATACATACATACATACATACATACATACATACATATATACATACATACATACGTACACACACACACACCTAAGCGGCCATTCTCTGGCCGTATTGGACGAATACCATGTGAAAAATCGACCCCAACGGAACTCCTACGTCAACCTGTCAAAAAAACGTAACGTGCACACAATGAAAAACCACGGGCAAGGTACACACATACACACACGCTCTCCTCCTCACTAACCCAACTGTCCTTTCACGCAAGCATCCCTCCGCTGCCCATGCATCGGTGACCCCCCCTCCCAACCCCAACCCCAGTCACCCACCAGCTCCGGCCTCTCCGCTTCGTGTACGGCAGCGTAAAAGCAGTCCATATCAGCATGTAGCCATGTACGACTGAGATCTCGGCGGCACTCCAGGGAGGAGATCCGCTGGTCGACAGCTCTGGGGGCCCGTGCGGGCGGTACGGAAATCATCAATAAGTAACAGAAGCGGGTGAGGGACCGGCCGGGGCAGGTGGATGGAGGACGACATGGAATGTGTAACGCCAGCTACTCCTGTGTGCTTTCTCCTAGGTCCTAGTCCTGTTCCTGGTCCTGGTCCTGGCTAAACATCTTCTTCCCCCACTCCACCCCACCCCACCCCACCCCACTCCACTCCACTCCACCCCACTCCACCCCACTCCACTCCACCCCACCCCACTCCACCCCACTCCACTCCACTCCACTCCACTCCACTCCACTCCACTCCACCCCACTCCACTCCACTCCACTCCACCCCACCCCACTCCACCCCACCCCACTCCACCCCACCCCACTCCACCGCACCCCACTCCACCCCACCCCACTCCACCCCACCCCACTCCACCCCACCCCACTCCACGCAAACATCCACTTAGTGATACGTCTGTGCTCCTCGCCCTCCTGGGGGACAACGCAGGCATCCTGTCATCGTAGCGCCACGTCCCGGTGGCGTTACGTCCGTCAAACACGTCTTCCCTGCCTCCATTCCTCTCCCCGCCTTTCCACCACCCCAACCCAATGAGCCCGCCCGCTCTAGCCATTCCCCCCGCATTACACTTCCCGACCCTGCACTTCCCTTCATTCCCCTCTCCCTCCCTCCTCTTCTCCCACCTTGTTGCCGCCGCCAGCTCTGCGGGTGTGATGGCCGCCGACCTGGCCTTCAACTGGCTGATACGGGTCGCCAGTTGGGCGGCCTTGCGCTGCTCGTTGCGGAAGTGGGCCGAGTCCTGAACGGGGACCCGGGAAACGGAAATTGGGTAAATGAGGACGGAGGACAGGACAGCAAGCGAGGTCTTGTCGGTAATATATTCGGAGACTATCAACAATATGTGGACAACGGCCGGGAAGGGCAGGAAGCTGGGGAAAAAAGAGAGGAAAGCTTTATTCTTTTCCCATAATCCTAGGGAGAGGAAACCCCAAAGCTGCTGCCGAAACCCTTTTCATGTTCCTTGGGTCGGTCTAAGAGCTAGCTCCGTCTTTTCGCCCCTTTTTCCTGGGCACAGGCTTGCCGTTGGTGTCAGGGTGTATGAATGGGTTTACATGAGTTGTTTGTTTGGGTCTCTGACGGACCACCGGAAGCTACCTTAAGCAAGCGCCTCGCCGTCCTCCCCCACCTTGCTTCCCCACACCGAGCGGCAGTTATCATGGTCGGTACAATATCCTTCCCGCTTTTATGCACAGCGCCTTGCATATAATCCCCAGCTTACCACGGCCCTAAGCCATCCCAGAGCTTCTCATCAGCACGAGATGCTTCTAAAAGTAACCCAGATCATGGCATCCGATAACAGTGCTCGCCTTACTCATTTCATAGACGATTTTCTGTACATAGCCCTTATCCACACTTTCCATGCCCGCCTTGGCGTTGGTGAACACAGTTTGATAGTCCTGCCATGGCGCTGCGGGTTGCTGAGGCTGAGGGCCAGCTGGAGCTTGCGGGATAAGGGGAGGGGGGACACGAGCTGAAGGAAGAGGTTGGTCGTTGATCGCGACGTCAGGGTCAACAGGGAAATCCATTTTGCGTGAGACGTGCTGTGTGTGCTGGGGGTCCGGGGGTCGGCCTTTGCCAAGGCAGTGAAGTTAACGTCGTAAGGATTGCGCATTGTCAGGCTTATCCATTTCATACATTAAATCCGACCCATGGCGTGAGCAAACATGAAAGGACTCGGGGCCGGTATCAAGTCAGCTTTCCTGAAGTCCGCGACCCTGGTAGATTTCGTTGCAATCAGCAAAACTATGGTTCAACTGTTTAGCAGGGTTCCGAAGGGACTCCACTGTTTTTTGCCAGTACTGTGGTACGGCATTTCACAAAATTGCACTGGCTTGAGTGTCAGGGAGCTTAGTAAAATTTTAAAGGTTACCCCTGCCTATCTGCACGTAGCTGAGTCTCGGACAGCAGCAACCATGGCTATGCGTTTGGCGCTGACGAGGAGCCGCGAGCTGCTGGCCCCGGGAGTTCGCTACCTTCGGACTTCGGTAGCAAACGCGTCGGCTGAGGGTAAGGATGACTCGGACATCATCGGAAACTTACCGTCGCAAGGACAAGCCGTGATTGCCACAGTTCCTCACGCGGTAACAACAGTTACATAGGTCATGCTTTGGTGGAGTGTTTGACTTATCTAAGTGCAGTCTGTGCGACAAGTATTGAGCTAAAAATCGGGCCGCCTCCGTGACCATCTTTGGGGACGCAGGCAACTCCGTTGCTGCCATGGTGAAGGCCGTGAACGAGACTAGCGGGTCCAGCCTCCTAGCCAGCCTTAAGGACGCGAAGGCGAAGCTGCAGCCATACTACCCCGAGCCCGCAACATCTTCCACCTGGTCGCTGCAGGCGCGCCTCGCGCTGCTGGGCGCACTGTCCTGGACGCTCTACCGTCTGGATACTCAGTCTCGCGCGCATGAGTGGATCGTGGATCTGTCGCTGGATGTCCTCCAGGCGGCCTGGTATGTGTCTTTCCTGAGCCTCATCCCCTTCCGCTCTGTCTTCGTGGCGCTGCGGGGTTTGGCACCGCACACCTCCACCCCCCTGACTGGCCTGCGCACGGCTGTCACCATTAAGCCATAAGAAGGGCGGGTACGTCTGGCCCCACGTCACCGCGTCCACGACACCGAAGGAATTGATGAGAGATGCCGGCTGCCACCTCTGCTGGACTTCGCGGCAGGCCTCCGATTTATAGCGGGCCGCACGAGCCTGGTCATGGCGTATTCTTTGATCATGTTAGCTAGGAGCGGGAGCAGTCTGCAGTCTGCGATATGGCTTTGTCGCCGCTTTATAAGACAGCAATTTATGGCAGCTTCGGCATCTGTTTTCAAGGTCCTAGGACGCCACAAGCCGATGTGTCACAGATTCTGCTTCTGAGGGAGAGCGAGAACAATTTAAACCCTCCTTCGAGCACTTCGAATCGGCTGGCCGCGTGCACGAGGTTATTGAACTGTCTTGGTGTTTCGGTCGCCTGCACGTGCTGCTCCGGGACGCCGACCTGTTGTTAGGTTGGCGATACTGGCTATGGAATGTCGTATGTCCCTTGCCCCTTCCGTCACCACTTTGTGGACGAGCACTTTGCATGAAGTGTGTTTGGGTGTTGCGGGATGATGTTGCTTGTCGCCGCTCACCACCCCGTTCCACACCCTGGGTGGGTCGCTCCCATCCTGGGTTGAGGTTTTACATATGCGGCTGCAGTGGCGTGGTTAAGCTGCACTTCTATCCTATGGTTGGAATAGGGGTTTTGTGGCACCCTAGCTAGACGTGTTATCCTTCCATATGCCAGTTGTAAACCGGAACTATCTGCTAACCATGCACAAGATCTTATCCCCGGATTAAGCCGTCCTTTCTTCATTAGTTTATGTCACGCAACTGAAAGGACGTTGGTAAATTCAATTAGGTAGCAATTCCATCTCAGAAAGAAGGCCCCAACCAGGCCGCAGCAGCCCCAGCCCATGCTTCCAAACCCCAAATCAATTGGACAGCTGGACCATGAAAACTGCCGCGCAGTTCAGTTGCGCAAACATGCATTGTGCTTGAGCACACTCACTCTACAAAATCGGATAGCCGCCTGGAAGCGGCCATTTCGAGACCCGGACAAGTCCACGACCACCACCGACCTGCTTGCCTTACACAACCGCCATCACCATTTCAAAACCGCGAATGAAACAAAATCGCGATAAACGCATACAAAGCCCTCCTAAGTCCAACTACGACCGTGAAAATTATACACGCCTCCTAGACTTCCATTTTTTACGAGACGACGCATTTATGGGCTCGACCTGCCTCGACCCCACAAGCGCCGGAACAAAGTCGATAGCAACAAACGCGAGACAGAGGTCTTCTTGTAATGTTGTTATCCTTGATGTTATGATAATTATTTGACGAAACGAAACAAAAGCGGTCGGTCGATTGATTGAAATCATCTTGGCGATGAGAAACGAAAGAACGCATAGCTCCAAAAAACGTAATCGCTGTGCACTACCACCTCCCCCAAAGGAAGCCACAACCAACACGCAGCCAACTGCACTCAAATGCAACATTTGAGGGCCGTACACGCCCCAGCGTCGTACTAATGTACTAACAAATAGATAACGAAACCAGCATCGCTCTTCCATTCCTCTCGCGCTGTATCAAAACCCTTCACTCTACATCACTCACTTCATTCCCGCTCCGAATGTCTCGACCTTCGGGTTAAGTCTCAAAATCAATCCCAACAAAGGCCCCACACCCCGCTTTCCCGCTAAAAACGATGCACCGAGACGGGGAACGGACCACCCACCCATCTACCCACCTGCCCACCCGAGCACTCACATCCTCCCATCTCCGCCCGTTCTTAGCGCAATCAGCAGGTTCGACACGAAAAACGTAACACACATGTTCAGACATCCATTCGCTCATCCTTCTTTCCTCTTCCAAGTCAACCAGTTCCGACATTAAAGAGAGCAGCGCGCACATAAAATGCCAAAATGCCAACCGCGTCCGTACGTAGCCGTACTTCGTGGCGCGCACCCGTGCACGGGACTAGGGCCGTATAAAATAACTACTCATTATCATGAGCACATGTAGCATCATCAGCATCATACACTCCAGACAGGGTGCGTGAAGGTGGGAAAGTCACGCGGCGAGAAGTCAACAGCAGCTGCCGCGGGGGGGGGGGGGGTTTAGGGCCCCCCCCGTTTTGCACCATAGGTGAGGGGGAGGAGGGTTTTAGGGTGATGGGCGTTCTTCGCACAGGGAAAAACAGTTTTATGACCCACAAGCATGTCTCTCTCTCCCCCTCTCGGGTGTTGGCCGCCGCCCTAGCAGAACCCCCGCTCCCGCTCTCCCGCTCTCCCGCTCTGCCGATTCGACTCGGCAAAATACCTCTTCCCCCTCTTCGGTGATCCCCCCACCCCCTCTCCCTCCTTTCCCTCCTCCCTCTCCTCCTCATGCCGTTTCCACGGACCGGGCCAACAGCCGCCCGATAACACAGTAAATGCTCGCCACCTCCATCCACGATTCGGCCCGGCACCAGCGCATGCCGCCACCATGGGAGGCCAACGCGGTGCGCCATTGCTGGTTTGGTCAGGAGACCTCGTCCCCAGGTACCACCACCACCACCGCTACCACCGCCGACACCGGCACCGTTGCCACCACCACCACCACCACCACCGCTATACATTATGAACACCAAAACGTCTCGTAGATATATATACACACATATTCCCCCCTTTTTAGGCGTGTGTTTGCGCGTATGCGAGGAGGAAAGGGGGCGGGGACGCAGGGGTAGGGACAGGGCGCGAAGGGGCGCGTGTGCGAATTTGGAGTATGCGCGGGTGTGCGAGTTCTACCAAGAGCCTGGAGGAGCAGGAGGAGGAGGAGGAGGAGGAGGAGGAGCAGAAGGAGGAGGCATAACGCCCCATCTTGCACACCTAGACAGCGCAGTACAGCTGGAGAACAGGAGACGACGATACCAATAAAAGTGAAAGTGCTTTGCAGTACTGCACGCCACTAAGAGCCCAAGCAGAAACAGCAAAACGAGCGCGTCACGCGTGCGCCAGTGCGGTGTCCAGCGCCTTCTCTTGGAAGATGCTGAAGTGCGTTTCTAAGCGATTCTAGGGCTGTAGGTTCCGTGCTTTGTGTGCGTGAGTGCGTGCGTGTGCGTGTGTGTGTATGTGTGTGTATGTATGTGTATGTATGTATGTATGTGTCTCAGCGCAGCGGGGTCTCCTGCAGCCTGCCACGCCGAACCCCCCTCTTCTAATCCTCTATAACCCCACGCACCGCTGGGACATACACACATACATACACCCAGTCCCCTTCCCACGCAAGCCCTCAACGAGTCGGGCAACTTGTTTCACTGCCTGTGCGCCAGCCTTGTACCCCCCCCGTGTGCTTTCTCCCCGGGGGGTTATGCAACCCGCGGCGCTGCAACACTCAACGTCCCATACACGCACACGGCGAGAAAGAAGACAAGCCATGTTCGGGAGAACAGAAACGTGGCGCAACCCCGCCCATACATACGCACACACATGCATGCGTACATACACACATGCATGCATACATACATACATATGTGCATACGTGCGTGCGTGTATGTGTATGTGTATGGCTTGGACGAGAGCGCGCGAGCTTTCTGTCGCAAGTGATGGCGCCTCCGAGGGGGCACCACTGAGTCCACCAACAACAAACCAATCAGGCAACCAGGCGGCAAGCAGCTCACTCCACACACCCATGGCGGCTCATATACATACAGAGACACACACACATACGCTCACGCACACTGATTTCTTAAACTGGACAATCAACTAATAACGCGAACAAGCTGTCCCGGATCCGGGAAAAGGATGTGCGCCCGCTCTCACGCCACGTCCTCTTACGCTTTCGGAGATATTTTGTTTTCCCCCCCTCCTCCCTCTCCCCCCCTCCTCCCTCTCCTTTCCACTCCCCTCCCTCTCCCCTCACGTCCTCCTTCTCTAGGACATAGCCTCTACGACATGGACTAGTACAACGGCCCAATGTCCTGTTAGACGAGGCTGGCGGCCAAACCCGTTTTTCAAATTTTTTACCTCTTCCACTCGCATTTACCGCGTTTACCGCTAGACCCCTGGACACAGTAATGGTCACAGTCACCACGCTTCGGCAGTAGCCACCGCCACACACCCAGTCAACCCCAGCATTGACACCCACACACTCGCATTCCCAAGATCCAAATCTCGAGGCTTAAAAGGGTTTCGGAGCAGCACCCCTACCACTACCGCTGCAGCCACACACTCTCTCTGCGCCCCGCCCTTAGCTCCGTGTACGGCACGGGGAGCTGCAACACGGGGAGGCGACCCACAACGGGTCCCCCGCTACCGCAGCTGCTACTGCTACTGCTGTTACTACTGCTACTACTGCTACTGGTGGTGCTGGTGCAGGTGCTGCTGTTGCTGCTGTTGTTGTTGTCGGTGCTGCTGCTGCTGCTGCGGCTGCTGCTGCTGGTTGTGGTGCTGTTGCGTCGCCGCTGTCGACTGCTGCTGCTGTTGCAGCGTGACCGCTGACGGCGCCCTGGCCGCGACCAGGTGCTCACCCACCACCCGCACCAGGTCCTCGATCCGAAACGGCTTAGTGAGCCAGCCGTCAAAGCCCGCAGCCAGACACAAGTCCCGCGTATCCTCGAAGGCATCCGCAGTCACCGCCACCACCCGGCACCGCCTGCTCGCGCAGAACGCCAAGGAGGAGCATGGGAGGGCATGCGGATGCGTGAGTCGCATGTCGGTATGTCGGTATGCCGGTATGTCGGTATGTCGGTATGTCGGTATGCCGATATGTCATCTAGACGAGTTTTAAGCCTCCCCAGATTGGGCCATTATGGGTTGCCCTAATCCCTCTTACCTAGGGAAGGAAAATAAAAAAATGGCGGGAGGGTCGGTATGAGTGCATATGAGTGCATGCATGTGTTCCGCGGCGGGCATACACAGCACATAGCACACACCTGGGGCGAGGCGCGTTTCTCTCCAAATCTTTATTTCCCTTCCCTCTCCCCTCCCTCTCCTCCTCCAAAGGTCACCTGTTGGGGTAGCTCTGCTGCAGCTCCGCCACGGCCTCCATGCCGCCCATGACGGGCATGTGCAAGTCCATGAGGACCAGGTCGAAGGCGTCGATGCCGCCGCGCGCTGCCACAGCCTCCACGGCCTGTGTGTGTAGGCGTGCGTGCAGGCGTGTGCGTGTGTGTGCGTGTGCGTGTAGGCGTGTGCGTATGTGTGTGTACGTGTAGGCGTGTGCGTATGTGTGTGTGCGTGTAGGCGTGTGCGTATGTGTGTGTGCGTGTAGGCGTGTGCGTATGTGTGTGTGCGTGTAGGCGTGTGCGTATGTGTGTGTGTGCGTGTAGGCGTGTGCGTATGTGTGTGTGTTACATGGTTGGGGTGCGCAGGCGTGTGCGTGTGTGTGCGTATGTGTGTGTGCGTGCGTGTGTGCGTGTGTGTGTGCGTGTGTGTGCGTGTAGGCGTGTGCGTATGTGTGTGTGTGTGCGTGTAGGCGTGTGCGTATGTGTGTGTGCGTGTAGGCGTGTGCGTATGTGTGTGTGTTACATGGTTGGGGTGCGCAGCGTGTGCGTGTGTGTGCGTTGTGTGTTATGTGTGTGTGCGTGCGTGTGTGCGTGTGTGTGTGCTGTGTGTGTGTGTGTCGTGTAGGCGTGTGCGTATGTGTGTGTGTGCGTGTAGGCGTGTGCGTATGTGTGTGTGTGCGTGTAGGCGTGTGCGTATGTGTGTGTGTTACATGGTTGGGGTGCGCAGGCGTGTGCGTGTGTGTGCGTGTGTGTGTGCGTATGTGTGTGTGCATGCGTGTGTGCGTGTGTGTGTGCGTGTGTGTGCGTGTAGGCGTGTGCGTATGTGTGTGTGTGTGTGCGTGTGTGTGTGTGCGTGTAGGCGTGTGCGTATGTGTGTGTGTGTGCGTGTAGGCGTGTGCGTATGTGTATGTGTGCGTGTGCGTGTGTGTGCCAGAACACGCGCACATATGCCGTTAGGTAAAAAATCGCACAGAACAGATGCTATATTTTTAGGTAAAGCCCGAATCAATAACGCAATTAAGGAAAAGCAGCAGGAGATAACAGGGCGTCTCCTCATGTGAGTGAATGGCTGAGTAGCTGAGTGGGTGAGTGGGTGCGCCACCCGAGCGATGGGACCTTCCCGCTTTACCTCCTGCTCTCCTTTCCAACATATCTAGCACCTCATAAAAGGCCTTGGTAGGGTGATAGGTGGTAGGTGGGTGTGAATTTCACCTCGTCTCCCCACACGGACGAGAAGTGGGGTCCCCTAGCCAATCTGCTCATCATGGCCGTATCACCGCATGTACGAGTACGACAGAAAGGTACGACATGTCAAGGTCTGCGGTTGAGAGGTGAAAACCGCCCTTCGCCTCTGGCTCATCTAACAGGGAGCCGCGGGCAGGAGGAGCTGGTGCGCGGGTGAGGGTGGTGTTGCCGGCAGCGGGGATACCCTGACTGACCGCATGTAGCTGCTCTTCCGAAGCAATCATAAGCCGGAGACCCAATCCACCTACCCACCCACCCACCCACCTGTACTCCGTTTTCCGCAGTGGTCACCTCCGCAGACGGCAGGGTCCGCTTCAAAATACCCAGAGCCACCTGAGGCAGCAAAAAGCGCGCCATTCATGTACTTGTATTATTTTTCTTTTCCTCTTCTTTCTTTGAGTTTTTTAGGGTTCGTTTTAGGGTTGTAGGGTTGTAGAAGTCTGTTGTAAGTTGTTGTTCTGTTTGAAACGCAGGATTACGCTCTCCTTGGGGTTGGCCGCCAAAACCCCTCCACTCCACTCTACCACAGTCCTGCTTATAATGCCGTACAAACCCGTACACCCCACCATGCAACCGCAAATGCTTGCCTTCATGTTGATGGCGTTGTCCTCCGCCAGCAGGATCCGTACGCAGCCGGGACCCCCGCCGCCGCTGCTGGTGTCGCCACCACCGGCCGCCGCCGCCACTGCGGCGGCGGCGGCAGCTGCCGCTGCGCTACTCAGATCGTTGAGCTCGGCATTGCTTCCGGACTTCTTGACTAAGGCGGGCTTGAGGGAGGAGCAAAGCGAGGAGGATCCGCCGTGGCCGTGGCCGTGCTGCTGTGCGACGGCAGCGGTGGCGGCGGCGCCGCCGCCGCCATGAGATCCAGTGCCGGCGGCGGCGCCGCCGGTGCCGTACTCAAAAGATGCTCGCCAAGTGGCGGGGCTGCCCGGCGACGCCGGCGCCGTCGAGCCGCCGGGTCCGCTGCTGAGCGCGCTAGCGATGGCGGCGGCGGCTGCAGCGGCATCGTCGGTGGCGGACAAATCCGCTGGCGGCGCGGGGCGGAGGAGGACGTCAACAGCTCCGTCCAGGGGATACCAGCGCCGCTGCTGCTGCTGCTGCTGTTGATGGTTGTGACGTTGGTGATGATGATTTTGAGGTGATGGCGGAGAGAGCCGCAGGTTGCTGCTGCTACTGCGCGTCAGCGGTGGCACCGATGGCAGTAGCGGTGGTGCAGCCGCCGCTGCCGGTGCTGAGGCGGCAGCTGGCAGCTGCTGCTGTTGTTGTTGCTGCTGCGGCTGGCTTGCGTCGTCAACGAGCGCCGAGGTGTCGATACTGCGCCGAGTGGAGGCCGCTGCGTCGGCGGCGTCGGCGGAGGATGACGTGTACTGCGCCGGCGCCGCCACCGCCGCCAGCAGGTCGCCCTCGTCGTCGTTGCTCCAGCAGCTCTGCGGTTGGGCATTTCATAAAAACATACATGTGTATTGATACACACACACATATATATACATACAGTCGCACAGCCACGTAGAAAGACGACGTTTGATACATTCACACCGGGGGGCATAGGCGGTGTCCCTTCTTGCGCAAGGGAACGGGACGCCCCAAAGACAAGTAAATAAACAAACAGACAAACAGACGCACATTCCGTTCTGCTGTGCCAAAATAATGAAATTATTGTCCCATGAGCTTCCTATGGAGCTTCCTTCCTTCCTTACACGCACACACGCACAGTGTCACCTGCAGGTGACTGCTGGTCGCGCCGCCATCCAACTGCATCATCAGAACCTCCTCCAACGCCAGTTTGAGGCGACCCTGCCGTACAGGCCGTGTCACCGTCACGTAGCCCAGCTGGCGGTTCTGGGGCTTGCTCATCTCCTCCGTCACCGCGCGCGGCGGCCGCGCCGTCACTTCCCCCGGTAGGGGCTCTGCAAAGTCGTACGGACCCACCGCCGCCGTCGCTGCCGGAGGCGGCTGCTGAGCCGCCGCCGCCGTCGACGTCGATTCGCTGCCGTCGACGTGGCCTTTTCCGTGACGTCTTGCCCTGCCTGATCCCAAGTCCCTTGCCGCCGTACAGCAAAGACTCTGACGTTGTCCTGGATCCAGATCCGGACCTGGATCCAGATCCGGACTTGGATCCAGATCCAGTGTGTGACCCGTCGCGTCAAGACCGTCTTCGTCCTCCTCTGGTTCGTTCTGTCCAGGCCAGCCTAAGAACACGAGGCGCTGGGCTTCCCGATCGTCGGCGCGCGTTAGCGCACGCAGTAGCACGGTGTCCTTCATGTCCATGATAACGCAGTCGTACGGCCCAATTGTGTCGTAAAATCTAGAATCCAGGGCGCCCGGCTCCGCGTGCAGCAGCGTCATGCACGGCCGCTGCGGCGGCTCCGGTCGCAGCGGCGGCGCCAGTGACTCCGCTAATGTGCCGCACTGCACGAGACGCCGTACAGCGTCGTACGATGATGCCACCGCGCAAACGCGGCAGCCCCAGGAGCGCAGCGCCAGCATCAGCACCTGCCGCACCATTATGCAGGGCTCCACCAGCAGCACCTTTTTGCCCCGCAGTAGCGGCAGGGAGGTGGTGGGGTCGGCGCCGCCGGTGAGCGCCAACGCCAGGTTGGCGGAGGCAGCGGCAGCACCGCCGGTCATGCCGTAGGACAGGCCGTCGCGCAGGCTGCCGCTGCCGCCGCCGCCAGTGGCACCGGTACCACTGGTTCGATGCCCATCTCGGCCGCCGGCGCAGGAACCCGCATATGAACCCCCTGAGGAGCACCCTGCCGTCCACGGCAGCGGCAACACAGGCGCACAGTTGACGCTGCGCTGAACGCCGCTGCCGCCGCCGCCACCAGGGTCAACGGCGCCGCCGCCAGCAGCTGCGCAAACCGCAGCGGAACCGGCAGCGGCTGACGCGGCTGGGAGAGACATTAAAGCCGGGAACGGCAACGGCAGGATCGATCCAGAAGTGGCGGCAGCGGCGTCACCGCTAATTGCAGTACAGCCGTTAGATCCGCCGCCGACAGCCGTACTGCCGATAATGGCACTACTAGATGCCGACGCTGAGCCGCCGTTCCTATCACTACAACCATCGGAGCTACGGCACAACGTCATGTCGTACTCCTCATCCGTCAACAGTGCCTGGGTTTGCGGCAGCGGCAGCGGCGGCGCCGCTGCCGCCACCGCGCCAGCCGCCGTGCCACCACCGCGCACCCCTCGACTCTGCCCACGCGGCGAGGTTATCGCTGCTGCCGCCGCCGCCGCTGCCACGCCGCTGCCGTTCATAGCGCTTCCGCTCGACCCCGGCCCGCCGCCGGCGGCGACGCCGCTAGCGGCGGCCGCTACTGGCGGCCGCGAGACGCACACCAGGGAGGACCGTCGCGCCTTCCGCTTTGACGCGGCCTGCTGCGGCAGGCGGCACAGTATGGTCCAACTGAAGGTACTCCCCTGCGTAAGGCCCTCGGACTCGGCCCACATCTGACCACCCATCGCCTCGCACAGCTTGCGGCTGATGGCCAAGCCCAGGCCGCTGCCGCCGTACCGCCGTGTCGGCGAAGCGTCCACCTGCAGTGGTCGCCGCCCAAGCCGACGCAGCAGCAGCAGCAGCAGCAATATTAGTATTAGTATATATTGGTATGTCAGTGGTGGTGTTGCGAGGAGGAAATAGACTGTCAGGAAAACACAATCGTAAGATGCAGCGCCGAGGGATGCACATCACGGACATAAAACGCGGGCATGAGCCCCAATAGCGACATAGCAGCAGCAGACGAGGGGATAATGATGATGATGATGATCTTGATGTTGATGTTAGGAATGCAGCCAAAGCGACAAGGAGGGGTAGAGGTAGTGCCAACAGCAGAATCATCATCATCAGCAGAAACAGAAGAAGAACCGGCAGCTGCTGCAGCTGGAAAGCTGCAGGACAAGAACTCACCAAGCCGCAAAAGAGGGGCCGCAGAGGGCAGTCAGGCGCTTAAAAGCACAGTCGACTAAATCGTACAACGTGGACCTACCTGCGTAAAGGAATTGAAGAGGCGGCCCAAGTCGGCTGGAGCAATGCCAATTCCCGTATCGCGCACGGAGAACCGTACGACAAGCAATGGCCATTCCGCCTCCGGCCCCGTCGCCGTCGCGGTCGTTGTCGCCGCCGTTGCCGCAGGCGGATGCGCAGTGGATGGCAGCAGCGACGTCGCTGACGGCCCCGCTATCGCCGGATCCAGTGCCGCTGCCGCCACCGCCGGCCCCGGCTGCACTACGATGTCGCTTCCGTGCAGCCCTAAACATGCGCCTTCGCCAGCACCTGCACTCAGGCAAGGCTCCGGAACAGAGCCTACTTCCCCCCCGGAGGTGGTGGCCGAGGCGGTAACGGCCGCCGCTGCGGCGGCGGCTGGCGCCGCCGCCGCCGCCATCGCCGCCGCCAATGCGTTTGGCGGGAACGTTCCCTCCGGCCAGACCTCCAAGAGCAGGCCCCCTGAGGAAGTTAGAAAATCGTTTGGGGTTGTTAAGTTGGTTTAATGGTTTATTTCACACGCAAATGTATAGCGGCAAGGGGGGTCGCCATGCTCGGCATCGTTTACACACAGCCAACCGAATAACGTCTTTTTCTGGTTTTCTATGTGTATTTTGCAAACATAGGTGTAATCGTATCTATTCTTACATAAAAATTGGCACTGTTTAACATAAAGATTGTCAACATTTCATTATCCTTTGTAAAGGATCGCGATAACTTCACAAGGTCCATCAACAGCACCAAAGGCAAATCATTAACAGTACAAGCAAGCACAGCAATAAGCCCAACAAGAGCATTACCAACAGCAGTGTATCATGAGCACCAACGATAACACCGCCGCCAGCAATACTCACATCTCCCACCAGCCCTCAAACACCACAAAACAGAGACATATCTCCCTCCCCCCATGCCTCACCCTCCTCTGTGAACTTGATACCGTTGTTGAGGACGTTGAGTAAGATCTGCTGCAGCCTCTGGGCATCGCCATACAGCATACGTGGCATGTGCTCTGCCACATGGTACGCCACCTTGTGCACAGATCCATCATCCACACAGTACGACAGCACAGACATGCATACATACATACGTACACACACACGAACGAGGACGCAGGGCGGCCGCGAGTCAGCATCTTAAGAAGTGGCAATGGCGCGAGAATGTAGGACTGGGTTGGGATATGAAGGGTACGGCAGGGTATTTTCTTTAAGGGCCTTTCCATCACCCACCACTCACCCCCACCCGGGTAGGAGCGACCCACCCTCCCTCCCTCCCACCCGCCGGCAGGTGCTCCCGGCGGTCACGAACCACACCGATCAGTGTCACAGCAGTATCCCACCCCAGCACCACTGTAATGCAAACCCACCCTCCCCACACCCCGACCTCGCCAGCCACGGGCCCGGCCACCACGCCATCCCTCCTCCGCTTCCTGCACCTCAATTCTCCACTTCCTCCTCCTCCTGCACCTCAATAATTCTCATACCGGGCCCCTACACACCCACTCACCCGCCCGTAGCAAAGGAATGGCATCTTGCCATCTCGGCCCCCAGGCGCCTACCTGCAGCCTCCGCTGCGCCGCCTTCAGCCCCGCAATCTCCATGGCCGCCTCTATGACGGTATCCAGCTTGAACACCGCATTGTGGAGCACCATCTTGTTGGCCTCGATACGGGAGAAATCGAGAATGTCTGTGCGTGCGCGTGTGTGCGGATGGGGTGGGTGGGATAGGGTGAGGTGAGGTGGGGGTACGGCAACATCCATCCATAAAAGGCCAAGAACAAACCAGAGCTGGGCGGGGCGGGGCGGGGCGGGGCACAGGACATAGCAGGAAGGGACCACAGTCCCCTACTTCCAACCCCAAACTCACCTACCACCCCTAAACCACACGGCACGGCAGCGCATTCTCTTTTTGCGCATTTAGCATCATCAACATCAACATTACCAACATCATACAGATCCTACCCCACCCCACCCCAACCCCCTTCCCCTCCCCTCCAGCCACCCACCCGTAATGAGCGTCAGCAGTGTCTCCCCCGAGCAGCGAATGGTGTTGACCAGGTCCCACTGCGCGGGGGTGAGGGAGGTCTCCGCCAGCAGCTGCCCCACCGCGATCATGCCGTTCAGGGGGGTGCGGATCTCGTGACTCATGCGGGCCAGGAACTGCGACTTGGCCTCCGTCGCCACAGCGGCCTGAGGAGAGGGGTGGAAGGCCAAGGTAGGACTAGTAGTAGTATAGCAATAGTAGTAGTATAGCAATAGTAATAGTATAGCAATAGTAATAGTATAGCAATAGTAGTATAGCAATAGTAGTAGTATAGCAATAGTAGTAGTATAGCAATAGTAATAGTATAGCAATAGTAATAGTATAGCAATAGTAATAGTATAGCAATAGTAGTAGTATAGCAATAGTAGTAGTATAGCAATAGTAGTAGTATAGCAATAGTAGTAGTATAGCAATAGTAGTACTAGGAGTTATATGCAAGGGAACCAGAAATGAACCGCTGCCGGAAGGCGTCCAAAGTTCGAAACTGCCCCTAGTGCATCCTAAGCGAAGATGAAGTCACCGACCCGTGGTTCCATAGGAGGAGGGGGTCAAGAGGAGGTGAAGGAGGGACGTGGGGATGGCCGGGTGGGAAAGACGAACCACGTGAACGAGTGAAGAAGCTGCTGCCAGGGCAAGCATGTACCAGACGTATAGAACTGACCGAAAGGCGTCCCCGGGGGGGGGAGGGGCGAGGGGCTTTACAGCCAGAGGCCACACACGACCTACCCCTACCCCACACTACCCAGCTCGCACCTGCAGTGCCGCGTGTTTCGCCGCCAGCTCCGCCTTCTTGTGGTTGACCAGCTCCGTGATGTCCGACTGCACCCCCACGTAGTGCGTCAGACGGCCCGTGGCGGTGTCGTAGATGGGCGTCAGGGACAAATAGTTCACGAACGGGTCGCCGTTCTTCTTGTAGTTGAGAAGCTGCGGTTGGCGGGGCGGGAGGGGACGGTAGGGGGGCGGTGGGGGAGGGAAAGACGAACCACGTGAACGAGTGAAGCTGCTGCCAAGGAAAGTGTGTACAAGAAGCAGGACTGGGAGGGGGAGGTGGGTTCGGGAGTGGAAGGGGACGGCTGGGGAGATGCGACGGAGTGGGGAGATGTAGCCCGGACGGTATGAAAGGACAGGAATGGCAGGTCGGGCGAGCCCGGGGATGAATGCCCACTGGGAGAATGAATGATCAAAGACTGTAGTAGTCTTGTAAGCGTTCGCGCTCGTATATGAACCACGCTCCCCGTACCTGTACGACACACGCCCGGCCCTGCTTGATAGCCTCCTTAAGTTCCTGCACCGGCTGGCCGTCCGTACCCTCGCCTTGCAGGAACCTGCGAGGGAGGGACGACATACATGCATACATACATACAGTGCTTGGATATATACATACATGCGGACAGCACTACTCCAGGAGTACTCCTACTACCGGTGATGAACTGTTCGTATCCCCTCTGCAATACCATCCATCCATTCAAGAGTTGCTGTTGTTGTTGGTAGTGGCTCCTCCTCCTTCTCCTCCTGCTATTACTACTATTACTACGACGACGCGAGTCCACCCAACCTGCCTGTCCTCCGCTCCATGTGTGCGTCCTTGCCCTTGCCCTTGCCCTCGTCACTGAAAGCCCCCCCTAGCTACCCCTCCAACCCCCAAACCCCCACCCCACAACCCCTGACCTCCCTCCCTCCCTTGCGCCCCGACCCGTCCCTCCTTTACATGTCCCCTCCCCNTGTTTTCAGCCCCCTCCCGTCCCCCCCCCATGCCTCTCACCCCCCCCACACACACACCTGCAGTTCTTGCCAATCACGTACTCCACGCTGTAACCCGTGGTCCGCACGAACCCCGCGTTGGCGTAGATGAGGGGCATGTCGGGCATGGAGCAGTCCGCAATGGTGATACCCTCCTGCAACACATCCATGGCCTTGACCTTCAGCAGCAGCAACTCGTACTCCCGCTTGGTGATGGACACTAGCTCATTGCCACCGCTGCTGCCACAATCGCCACCGCAACTGCCACCAACGCTGCCGCCACCCCAACCGATTCCCCCAAAGGAAGCTATCGCTGGATGCAAACCCGCCGCCGCCGCCACAGGCCCACCGCCCAGGCCGGCCGCTACCGCGGCCGCCGGCGCGGTAGCAGCGGCAATGTACGACGTACACGTCAGCGGTGATGTCAGCCCGTCAGTGAAAGGGCAGGAGCAGGCCTGGGTGCATCGTAGCGGACCTTCCAGCTTTTCCGTTAGGGCTACAGCGCCGCTACAGCTGGAGGCGGGGGCGGCGGCGACTGCGGGATTCTCGCCGCCAGCTCCTAACCTGCCAGCGGCGGCCTGCTGGTTCGAAACACCCTGATGGACGGATTGCTGATGGTGGCAGTAGCCGTGATGATGATGGTGGTTATGATGATGTTGGTGGTTATGCAGAAGTGAGTTTTGAATCTGATGCTGCTGAAGCTGAAGCTGGCCGTCGTATGGGTGGTGATTGAGGTTGTTAGCAACACCGTGGTCTAAGACGTGGCAGTCGACGACAGGTGGCGGCGATGCACACGACGCTATTCCTGTCGTAGGTATCTTTGCCGTGCAACCACCGTACCTGTCGTACAACTGACAATCCGTCGTCGGGACTGCCGTCGCGTGTACGGCAATCCCCCCGCACGGCCCTGAGCTACCCAGCGAGGCCCCGCTGCCACCACCATGCAATCCGACACAAGGCGACATCCCCCTGCGTTCATGATCTTGGTAGTGGCGGTTGTGGTGCTGATGCTTATGCTGCTGTTGTTGTTGTTGTTGTTGCTGTTGTTGTTGCTGCTGCTGGTAGTGATGGTGGGGCAGATGGTAATGGTGCGGAGGCTGGAGGTTGTGACGGTGCGGTTGTTGTTGTTGTTGTTGTTGTTGATGGTGACGGTGGTGAACATGATGGTGGTTTGAGAACTCCCGCCCGTGGCCCACAAGTTCTCCCGCCGCCGCCGTCGACATCGCCACTGCCGTACAAGGCACTGAGCACGTCGTTGAAGTGGCACACGGTGGCAACGGCGATACAATTTGTCTTTCGGGCGTGATGGTCTGTGGGGGTGCTGTTGCTACTGCTGCCTCGGCGGTATGGTGTTGTTGCTGCTGCTGTTGCTGCTGCTGTTGGAGATCCTCATGTCCCACGAGCACCGGCTCGCCAGCCTGCTGCTGCTGCCGCTGATAATGATGATGATGCCAGTGCTGGTAGTTTTGCTGGTGGTGGTGGTGCTGCTGCGATGGCAATAGCAATGACACGTCGCGGGTTTCGCATGGTGAAGCCGAGCCGCATGGTGCTGCTGTTACTGTGGGCGCCCCCGGCAGTGTCAGCGTCAGAGCTGCCTCGCAGGCGGCAACCCCGCTGCCGCGGCCGCCGCCTGGCGGCCCCAAACCCAACGAAGAGCACGCTGACCCTGCAGGATGCGGCGAGAATGTCATCGTCGTCGGCGGCGGCGGTACCCGTCCTGAGGCGCCTGCAGGGGACGCGGCAGCAGAGATGGAGGCGAGGGTGGTGGCACTGGAGCCCTGCCCGCCTGGTGCTGCCCCGCCGCTAACAGCAACACCAACCGCAGCAGCCCCAGCGGCTCCTCGGCTATCTGCCCACGCGTCCCGCAGCCCCAGCGCTGCTGCTGGGCCCCCTGCCAATGGTTTGCAATGCGGTGAGGACGCCCAGCTAGCGGGCTGCTGCGACTGCAAGGGTGAGCTATGTGCGGAAGCAGCGGAGGCCGCCTGCGCAGCTGCGGCTGCGATGCACTGCTCCAGTTGCTGCTGGCAGAGATCCGCGCGGTGGCGCTCGCGCTTGAGCGCCTCCTCCAGCTCCGAGACCCGCTCCTGGAGCGCCCTGATATGCTGCGCCTAGGGTGAACCAGGTTACACACGTACACACGTACACACACCACACGTGTGGAGACGTTTCAAAGACAATTCATCGTCGTTCAAGCTGACCGCAAAGAGGGCGCGGTTAGGTAAGCTTTTAATTGGTCATTTGATTTGGGTTGATGATGATGCTGAAGTGGTATGCGTAAAGGGGGGTTTCTGAGGGAGGGGGGCTGCGTGGGCTGTGGGCCAGAGTGGTGGGGCTCCAGGGAAAGGAGATTTCGGAGGTTTCGGAAAGGAAGAAGACATTGCGCTTTGGGGTAGAGAGTGGGGGAGGCAGATGAAGCTAGAGGGAAACCTTGGCCGGGGCTGTGGGACGGGGGTTGCGCGTACCAAGCGTGTGCGCGGCGCCGGCGGCTGCAGTGGTTATGGACGGGAGTTAGGGAAAGCAGAGAAAGGGAGGCCAGATGGGAGTGATGCGCGCGACGAAAGCGAATGACCTAGGAACAGCGCCCCGAAGGAGTGCGAGAGCGAATACGGGGAGATGGGGGATAAGGGGTGATGTTGTAACAAGTTCGCCACCAAGGTCTAAGATCGCCTGCCAAGGACGGGCTGGGCCATGGGCGCATTGTCTTGGGGGGCGTCACTTAAGCCAGGAGAACCTCGGTGCAAGGGGTCGGAATGCTTTGGCAATGTGTTCATGGAAGCAAGTGATAAACCTTGCCAGCCGGATGGCCGCGCGTTATGTTTCAGAAAGCATGCATAAAGGAAAGAACCAAACAAAAAGTCCAGACCAGCAGGCCAGCGTCCACCACAGCTTCAATCGTCGTTCCCAGGACAGGCGCGATACTTGCACATCCTTTACGCTCACCTGCCCAGCAATACCGCTGATGTAAGGGCTCGCTGGCATGTCATAGCTGAGGCGTGAGCTATTACTCCCAGCGCGTCCTTCACGTAGGAGAAGCGAAGCCATTCTTGTGGCCAGCCCGGCAGTAGGTGGATTTCCCCTTACTGGCGCGGGCGGCGTCGGGGAAAAGCAATTATTATCTTATAGCGGCGTTGCCAGCCCCCGGAGGCCGGGGGCGGCAGCACCGGCAGAAAGGTCCTCTGGGCGACTTTTGGCTTACTGGCTGTCGCAGCTCAGTCTTTATGCAGGTAGCTTAGCTTTAATGAATCAGCACCTAACCAACAAAACGCAATAGCCTCTGCCGTTTGGGCCTGACTTGCACACTATCCCTGGCGTTCCTGCGGTTGCCCCGCTGGGGCAGACAAAATAACGGTACTAACCAAGAAATGTCTCAAGGATTCTCCTTGAATCAGTAACTTTCCCAACATGCCCGAGACTCACGCTTCGGCAATTATTGCCGTATTACCCGTACGATGACTGGAGCCACATGACTTGCGGCGTCGTTTCCTAAATGGTTTGTCACGAAACGCTTCAACCGCTGCCAGAGAACTTTTGAAGCACCACGCTTCATAACCCTACGAGGCATCGGGCCGCGATAAGTGAGTTGCCATCATAGGACCTTTGCCTGCACCAGCGCAGTATAGTTCCATGCTTCCTACGCATACGGACGATGAGAGCCCCCTGCGCCCAGCTTCACCTGATAAGGCACGTACAACATTCTAATTATCCCTTGCATGTTGATTAAGTGCTCGTCCTGTAGTGCAGTACGGCAAGTGCGGCGCGGGAAGGCGCAGACCAGAATGGGCCAGAGGACAGGGACTGATACGGTAGTTCGTTACAAAGTTTAGCTGGGAACAAAGCGCTGAATCCAGGCAACGCAAGTTCGCCAGTCAACCATGCAAGCAAGCGCAAGTCAGAACGTCGTCTGTTGGGGAGTTTGAATTGTTTAAATAGGGATTTACTTTGTATTCGTGACCCAGCTCAATAGGAAAGTAGATAAGGCGATCCGACGTTGCTGGCATATCGGTCGCCAGTAACAGCGAAGTGATGGCAGAGCGCGAGGAATCGCGCGGCGGAGTCCAAGAAGGCTTGGAGGACATCATTCAACAGCGAGACGAAGGAGGACGTCAGAATGGCGGACCAACTAGTTACCCGGAGGGGGCCGATGCGGTTCATCCGAAGGAGGTCTCGCGAAGGGCCGAGCTACCGTGTGGAGCTGCATTCTATCCGGAAGGCCAGCCCAGGGGGCATGCTTTCGCGCAGCGAAGCGCCCAGGCTGAGGCGCCTTAGGACGTTAGGTTTAGTTGCAAGCATCCGGAAGGCCAGCCCAGCGGGTATGCTGTCGCGCAGCGAAGCACCCAGGCTGATTTGCCTTGGGCCGGCAGGTTTTGGTCGCATGCATCCGGAAGGCCAGCCCCAGCGGGTATGCTGTCGCGCGGCG